TCATCATTCCCAAAATTTTCTTGCCTCTTGGGTTCCCGGAATCCGCCCACCCTCCTTTTTTTTTTAATTCCCCCCCCCTCCCCTTCCCTTTCCCCCATGCACCCTTGATAATTCACAAACCACCACTGTATCTTATATCACACTGTCCGGCGCCTCCCTTCACCCACCCCGCTGCTGCCCATCCCCCAGAGAGGAGGCCATATGCGGCTCCCCGTGATCCACTCCCCCTTACTACCTCCCCTTTCCCTCCTGATATCGCCCCCTTCACCCCCGGTCCTTCTATAGTTACCAATTACTATCATTTATACTTAAATATTCTACTAATATCCCTTAGTACATAGAAGTTTTGTGATTGTTTTACAGGGATGAAAAAAGTTAAAATTAGAGATAAATATTAATTAAAGCATTTTATGAACTCACAAATCTGTTTTCAAAAGAATGCAATACAAGGAGGATGAATCAGATTTTCTACTTTTATGTTAAACAATCGCTTGCTGAATATTTAGAATTTCCAAGGTCATAGAGAAAACTGAATCTAGGCTTTAGCACATACTTCAAAGCAAAATCAGATTTTATGTTTGAAACTTCCAGTATCCCAAGGATACATTTTTAAATTAGATGAAAATTCATGTTAATATGTACTTTCCTAGTCATGAAATCAGGATTATTTTCTTTCTTGCTTAGTACAGTATTTCTTAGACTGCTATATCTTTAGGCAACTATACTTGATTTTTAAATCTACTCTCTTCAATACTGATTCTAACTATTTGAAATAGTTTTTTTCCAAGAAAATAGACATTGCCATTTCTGGCATGAAAAAGAAGGTGTATTTACCAAACAAAATGCCTATTATTTAATGTTAATAAATTGTGTTATATTTTCTTCTTTGATTATCCTGTATTACAAATCATGTTCCATTCTGGATATAAAAGTACAAGAGACATGAGGAACTTAGAGGACAAAATACTACTATAATTTTAAGTCTAGCACAATAATATGATGGATTAATATTTGGGGGGCCTTCATTTGCTAATGGAGGAGTTACACTTTGGACTATTGACCACA